GAATCCTGAGTAAGAGACACGCAATCAAGCATTACTTGTATTACAATGGGCAGAAACTGTGGAAATTTAAGTATTGGACCATCCAAATTAGTTTCCAGTAAACTGACTGTCTTATATTACCATTCTTTCTCAAGCTCTAAAGTATGTCTCCAAAAAACAATTATTAATCATTATTTCCTGCTTTGTAAGTTATGACGATACTGTTTTGTACCCTGTTGATTTTATCCAATAACTGGGAAACCTCAACATCTCTATCACAGATAAGTTGTATATCATCCATGCATATTCTATACAAAGTTGCTTCGCTTATGAGCGTACTCGTCATACTTTCAACCTATGACGTATATACATCAGGTCAGAGATGCCTCAAAGTGCTACCCAGAGCAATTTGTCAAAAATATCCACCTTAAAACATGAACTGAATATTTCCAGTACATAACGAAAGTAATTATTTCGACAATGGTGACCGAATAGGAGATTTTCCGTTCAGACAAACAAAGCTTCTCAACATTCAATATAAGATAATCGGAAATATGATGTCTATAGAAAATAAGGGAGTGAATGAATGTTCGAACTCTATTTTTTCGGTATATACTTAGTTGTTTGAGGTCAACTCTTAACCAATCAACTCAAGCTGTTACATGAGCTTCCCCCTAGAATTGACCTCCATAGGAACAACGGCTCGATTAACCTACCTATCAAAAACACCTTAGTTCTGTTTCCGCAGCCCAAGGGAGAATTACAATCAATGACCACTAACTCTGTCAGCAATCAACGACAGTCCATGCATGTCTGTTCATTAATTAGCTTGTCATCTGATTTTGTAGCATGCAATTTCTTCTACAACTATCGCTGATGGTTTGCTACTTGCTTGTGAGATAAAAGTGTGAGAAAATGAAACAAGAATATTTGAGGAAGTACCTTAGCTGTTACAGATATATAATCAGCAAGGTGGTCCACAGTCTAAGTTAACGATACATTCATAGAAGGAGAGTTGACATCAAAGAAATGCAAAGCCTTATCTTCGATATTAATGTCTCCAATAATATCAGTTACTAGAAATGTATCTTTCAAGGAAAATTTCATCGTTTGTTAAGAATCGAGGTTAACAATTTTACTAAGCATTCAGCTATTTTATGTGATTGAGAAGCACGCATAGATAATATCGGTCGTAATGGATTAATAGACTACCAGTGTGCATTTGGGAGAACAGCGGTGAAATGTTTATAAGTCAAAATGTCCCGGTATTCGAGAATCGTGGAAGTGGTGTGCAATAACCATTAACTTCATCTTAAACCGATTTCGCTTATCTAGGGTGATTGAGACAACAAGGAGAAACCGATCATAGAGACTTCCGAATTGATCATCTATCGATAAATCAGAAATCGTGTCATGTACAACGGAGAAATCAAATCCGAAAAGTAGAGCTTCTATCACAAATACAGAAAGTTTAAAAGATGATCAATTTGATACGTAATTATCACAGTAAAATTGAAATAAATTTTTTTTCATTATAATTAGGAAGAGATTCGTTCGTCTTTTGTTCAGTAGTAGTAGTAGTAATAGTAGTAGTAGTAGTATTAGTAGTAGTAGTAGTAGTAGTAGTAGTACCGATTTCTCATTGACGCATTTCGATAAACTTTGGTCATCCTTTTGTATTATCATCCGAGCACGTAATTACGTTGTGGCTGTCTGGGTCAAATCCATTGGTATGTTTACGTTTCGGATGTCAAAAGACTCAAAATAACACATTGTGTTCAAAAATAGCTTTTTCTCACTTTGAAGTTACCGTAATTTATTATTAACACTTCTTTCATTCATTTTCGTCGGTAACGCCCTCTATTTCAATACAAATTAGTCTAGTTTGACCATTATTCTTCATATATATAGGTTTCTCAACAAGCGATTGCGTAGTCAGATATTTATTTGCAAAGTAATATGCTGATAGATATCCTAGAAATAATGAACGTTCTTATTTTGTTATGTTCTCTGGTTGTTTTTATTCTCCACTCTCATGAATAAGTGTCATGAAACGTTCGCCACGAATTACAGATTTTATAGATAAACAGTGATCATGGTTGAACGTATATAACCATTTGATTTGTGTGGAATGTTTCTTTGTTTACAAAGATAGTTAGAAATAAGTTTCACTAATCGGTAAAATGAGATTGATGTTCTAACTGAAATATAACGTGATGATGTACTGATCCTTGTCTATTTGTTTTTAAATTCTATCTCTTTTCACAGTTGAAATTATGTGTGAAACTGTAACATCATTATTAATTATTGGAGCTGGTCTACCAAGAACCGGAATTTTGAATGTGAAAAGGTCATTGAAAATAACTGTCACTCAACTTTCTTGGCTGTGCTTATTCACGGTCCTGCGAGGATTCATTGGTTTAATTTGGACATTGGCATGGTTACTCGTTAGTCCGGAGAGTAAGTGTTCACATTCAAGACCGGACACACGAGGTTTGAGCCCCACTCGCTGGATTGTGTGTGCACAGTGCAGGTGACGACCATACATGGACGAGTATGCCCTCCTATGACCCCAGGTTATCAATGTCCATGCAGCTTGTAGTAAATCATGGACATGACTAGTAAAATAAGACGTCTAGGCAAACGGTACAGTGCTCAGTCCGATCATCATCAGAATTTACTTAATTATGCGACAATGATGTTTAAATGTTTGGAGGAAGATCGTAAGACAGAACAAGGCCATTTCAATGTAGTGATGATAAAAACAATAAATGACATCCAGAAATGATCTTAGTCAGTAAAAAATCGTAAATTTTGCATGCATCGACACTTACAAGGTTAAGACAACACTTATTTATAAGAATAATTAGAAATAACCTGATTTGATCCACAAACACTTCAAGGATTAACGTAAATCAGTTTCAGAATAAATCAACTTGGTGACCATTGTGTAAAAATATATGTCACGACAAATGGCATTTGGACATAAGAGAGGTTTAAATTGACGAATCTGTACTTGACAACGTTTCTAAAGCCCTAATAATGTCAATTTTGTGCGCCGTTTCAATTATGTGTTTCGCTATCGATGAACATGGTTTTCCACCACCCACGTTGGTCGGAACATTTGACACTAATTAGCTCTGAAGCGATCTGGGCACATGTTCAATGACCCCTGATTGCATTGTTCGATTACTCCACTCCATGTATATGTGTCCACACAAGCATGTACATTGGCAAATACAATGTGATGTGACGTAATCATTTATGGATTATCTAGGTCTATTTGGTATCATGGTCTTAGACTTTTCAATCACAACTAATTGAGTGGCATAATAGATCTACAAGATGGCTGCTTTTAATCGCTGTCTTAAAACTGTACTATTGAACTTACCTGTACATGGTAGATAGTTATAAACGTTTTCCTTGCAACCGAATAAACAAGAGGTAATGACGTTTATCGACTTTTGCACATATTAACGAACTTTAGTGGATAATCATTTGATATTAATGCGCCAGTCAACAACTTTTCATCCTTTTCAACCGTCTCTTTAGTGCAAATTATTTGAATCCTGATAAAGAGACACGCAATCAAGCATTACTTGTATTACAATGGGCAGAAACTGTGGAAATTTAAGTATTGGGCCATCCAAATTAGTTTCCAGTAAACTGACTGTCTTATATTACCATTCTTTCTCAAGCTCTAAAGTATGCCTCCAAAAACAGTTAATCATTATTTCCTGCTTTGTAAGTTATGACGATATTGTTTTGTACCCTGTTGATTTTATCTAATAACTGGGAAACCTCAACATCTCTATCACAGATAAGTTGTATATCATCCATGCATATTCTATACAAAGTTGCTTCGCTTATGAGCGTACTCGTCATACTTTCAACCTATGACGTATATACATCAGGTCAGAGATGCCTCAAAGTGCTACCCAGAGCAACTTGTCAAAAATATCCACCTTAAAACATGAACTGAATATTTCCAGTACATAACGAAAGTAATTATTTCAACAATGATGACCAAATAGGAGATTCTCCGTTCAGACAAACAAAGCTTCTCAACATTCAATATAAGATAATCGGAAATATGATGTCTATAGAAAATAAGGGAGTGAATGAATGCTTGAACTCTATTGTTTCGATATATACTTAGCTGTTTGAGGTCAACTCTTAACCAATCAACCCAAGCTGTTACATGAGCTTCTCCCTAGAATTGACCTCTATAGGAACAACGGCTCGATTAACCTACCTATCAAAAACACCTTAGTTCTGTTTCCGCAGCCCAAGGGAGAATTACAATCAATGACCACTAACTCTGTCAGCAATCAACGACAGTCCATGCATGTCTGTTCATTAATTAGCTTGTCATCTGATTTTGTAGCATGCAATTTCTTCTACAACTATCGCTGATGGTTTGCTACTTGCTTGTGAGATAAAAGTGTGAGAAAATGAAACAAGAATATTTGAGGAAGTACCTTAGCTGTTACAGATATATAATCAGCAAGGTGGTCCACAGTCTAAGTTAACGATACATTCATAGAAGGAGAGTTGACATCAAAGAAATGCAAAGTCTTATCTTTGATATTAATGTCTCCAATAATACCAGTTAATAGAAATGCATCTTTTAAGGAAAACTTCATAGTTTATTACGAATCGGGTTTAACGATTTTACTAAGCATTCAGCTAGTTTATGTGTATGAGAAGCACGCATTGATAATATCGGTCGTAATGGATTAATAGGCTACCACTGTGCATTTGTGAGAACAGCGGTGAGATGTTTATAAGTCAAAATGTCCCGGTATTCGAGAATCGTGGAAGTGGTGTGCAATAACCATTAACTTCATCTTAAACCGATTTCGCTTATCTAGGGTGATTGAGACAACAAGGAGAAACCGATCATAGAGACTTCCGAATTGATCATCTTTCGATAAATCAGAAATCGTGTCATGTACAACGGAGAAATCAAATCCGAAAAGTAGAGCTTCTATCACAAATACAGAAAGTTTTAAAGATGGTCAATTTGATATGTAATTATCACAGTAAAATTGAAATAAATTTTCATCATTATCATTGAGTAGAGATTTGTTCGTCTTTTGTTCAGTAGTAGTAGTAGTAATAGTAGTAGTAGTAGTAGTAGTAGTAGTAGTAGTAGTAGTAGTAGTAGTAGTAGTAGTAGTAGTAGTAGTAGTAGTAGTAGTAGTAGTAGTAGTAGTAGTAGTAGTCGTAGTAGTAGTAGTAGTAGTAGTAGTAGTAGTTGTAGTAGTAGTAGTAGTAGTAGTAGTAGTATTAGTAGTAGTAGTAGTAGTAGTAGTAGTAGTAGTAGTAGTAGTAGTAGTAGTAGTAGTAGTAGTAGTAGAAGTAGTAGTAGTACCGATTTCTCATTGACGCATTTCGATAAACTTTGGTCATCCTTTTGTATTATCATCCGAGCACGTAATTACGTTGTGGCTGTCTGGGTCAAATCCATTGGTATGTTTACGTTTCGGATGTCAAAAGACTCAAAATAACTCATTGTGTTCAAAAATAGCTTTTTCTCACTTTGAAGTTACCGTGATTTATTATTAACACTTCTTTCATTCATTTTCGTCGGTAACGCCCTCTATTTAAATACAAATTAGTCTAGTTTGACCATTATTTTTCATATATATAGGTTTCTCAACAAGCGATTGCGTAGTCAGATATTTATTTGCAAAGTAATATGCTGATAGATATCCTAGAAATAAAGAACGTTCTTATTTTGTTATGTTCTCTGGTTACTTTTTATTCTCCAATCTCATGAATAAGTGTCATGAAACATTCGCCACGAATTACAGATTATATAGAAAAACAGTGATCATGGTTGAACGTATATAACCATTTGATTTGTGTGGAATGTTTCTCTGTTTACAAAGATAGTTAGAAATAAGTTTCACTAATCGGTAAAATGAGATTGATGTTCTAACTGAAATATAACGTGATGATGTACTGATCCTTGTCTATTTGTTTTTAAATTCTATCTCTTTTCACAGTTGAAATTATGTGTGAAACTCCAACATCATTGTTGATTATTGGAGCTGGTCTACCGAGAACTGGAACGATGAGTATGAAAAAAGCATTGGAAACAATTTTCTCTCAGCCTTGTTATCATGGTTTTGAAATTATGACCGGAAAACAATGTGACATTGCTAAATGGCAAATGCTTGTCGACGAGTTACGAACGACACATTGTGAGGAGAAAATACACAGATATTTGAGTGAGATATTGGATTGCTATGTAGCTGTGACTGATGTTCCATCATGTGCATTCTACAGAGAGCTGATGAATATACATCCATATGCGAAGGTAAGATAACGGTTATATTGTTATATGTTCTTTTTTTGATAATGGTTCAATACACACGTATTTTGATCATACAAGGTAATTATTACTGCATATCCTCATGCAAAGGTGGGTTGATTTTTGATCATACGGATGCTTATGATCTCTGGATTTCATAATTTCCAATTATTGATATTTCTGAAACTCTTATTTGTTACATGGATATATACCACAACGTTTGAGAACAAGTATCCGTCATCTGTTATTTTTTCTACTTATCCACACAGTATTTTACTGCAAAGTACAGGGGAATTCAATTACTTCGTCATTTGGCAAACGAAGATGCGTAAACTAGGTCAACTTAGATGTAGCTTGTTAATTAAATTATTAGTAAGGGGACTTTACGACTTCCTGAATTGACAAATATCATTCTCCTCACTTCTCAACAGCCTATTCACCCACCAATGTCGGTGATCTATGTCAATGTTGAGGTATCTAGGGTCATACAGGAATGGTGTGACTTATATGACGCCAAATTTCCACCTCAGGTTGATACCTGACCTTAATTAGCCTACTGTGATATCGAGATGCAGAGGTTACTTTGATGACGGTATAGAGCAAGCTGAATATTGCTTGAGCAATGTGTTATAGGAAAAGACATAAGAACTGAGTGGAAGATGCACAACCGCACACGTCAGTTCATTGTGTATGACCGATTAATCTGTGTCAGTCTTCACTAAATTGGACGATAATCGGTACCGAAAATATTCAGCCTCGTCAGTGATATTTCTAGGGCTCACTGACACCGCACTGACGCTACTCTATTTGTAAGCTAAACATTGCGAAATTCGCGAATGTCTTAACTCTGTAAAACTGTGATAGATATTTTTACTCGTGTGCTGCGAGGTAATATTTAAGGACTTATAACACTGAAGTTCGAGAGTGAAGTTAACACGAATGGTTACTCAATAGCTAAAACAAACGTGATTTTTAAAACTGACCAAAATACTGTTTCGGTATACATCTTTGAATGACTTTTGAGATGAGTTATTTCTATAACGACAATACTTTCACATACTACATATTTCGTTTAATACAGGTTGTACTAACCGTACGCGATAAGGACGATTGGTTGAACAGCTTCAGGCAAGTTATAATGCCAAAATCAGATGACCCAAGTAAAAAGCAATTTGAGGAAGCGAAAAGACTTGCAGGAGTTCCAATTGAATGGGATAAGCTTCTTACTGACTCACTAAAACTAGCATTCCAGAAGGAAGATATTGATTTTGATGATGATGCAATGTTACTTGAATGTTACGAAAAACATATTGAAACTCTTCAAGAAAATATACCACCTACACGTCTTCTGGTACATCGACTTGGAGATGGTTGGGAACCATTGTGTAGATTCTTGAATGTGGATGTACCAGCTAACATACCATACCCTAAGATGAATCAACTGTCTGACATGATAAAGCTAAGGGATTTGATAAAGACATTTGGATCGATTGAGGAAGTCGCTAGGATGCATCCAGGAATTATGTAAAATTGAAGAACACATAAATTATTATTATTATTATCAGATCAGAAATGAATTGTCATCAAGCTTTGAATTCTGACTTGTTGTTGACAGCCATGGTAGTATTGGTGAAACATATAATCAGTATAATAAACTATAACTTTTGAATTTGCTCATTATTTTTTTTCCACACATAATGATGCTCATCAAACCAGTTAGTTTATAAGAGTCAAACAACTGAATGTGGTAATGATGTGATAAAGGTACGACGAGAATGAGGTTATTGAACTACGTTTGGGTGTATTGAGCAGAAAGTAGTATTTAGAGAACATCATTTATTCGAACCCAGTACTTGTTGGTAATGAAAATTGGAACTTAAAGCTGAACTGGTATGGTCTTGTACAATTGATTCTATAAATTTTGCCAAATGAACTTAGTCTCACTAGACGAAACATTTACTGACTCATATTGTGGATTGAAGCACTTGCTTAATCAGCTGAATATAGATAGCACTAATTACGAGTTAACTTTGCGTCTATTGGACAAAAGACTTTCACTGTTGCTGCCAACTCACTGACTGGAAATTTCAGCGTCTTCAATTCGTTGTTAAGCTCTGACTGCTACATTTCTCCGTTCATACGTAAGGTTGGTTGATTTTCCTGGCGTATGAGCTTGACAGAAACATTAAAGACATCTTTCTCCGGCATATTGTGAAATTATTTGCACTAAACAGATCACATACGATAATGAAATGAACTCATTGTTGGACGTTCCAGTAAAACTTCAGAACCTCAGTGGTAGCAGAGATGTAAGTGTGAAGTCAGATCATAGGTTGACGAAATATTTAAAAATTGAAACACAAGCGCATCATTACTCAAATCATTCATGGTGCAACTTAAGCTACTGGAATAAAATCATGAAGAATTGGTTATCTGCCCGCGGTTCAGATGTCAGGACTTAAATTTCCACTGGTTCGAATCTTGGAAACGCCACGAAAGTCGTTGGTTGATGGGATGATGGAAGATCATTCTGATTTCATTAGCATTTTGGAATACAGAAACTAAAACTGGCTGCATGTGACATGTCTGTAAGTTGCTCTTCTGCATTCTGGTTTATAACTAATAATGATACCTACATTCCTGGGTCCACAGCTATCACATAAATAAATCTGCACTGAGATATCCGTGGTTAATCATTAAAAATTACCTTGAAGTTCAACGTATAAAACACAATAAGTGGAAAGTCGTTATGGCCAAACAAGTTCTAATGTTTTCAGTATTCATCTTCGCTTGAAACATCCGCTCACTTTTCTCAGAATTTATTGATGTACGACTCAACATTGCTCGTATTTGTGGTCAAAAAGTTTGTTGAACATATGGACCGATCCGATTTGGGCCACTAAACTTCTAGATCACAGAGCAGACATCGCGTCTCAACTCAATAAATCACAACGGCAGTGCTACAGGGATTTGTGCCGAGTGCGACGATACGTTGGGTATTGGTGGATAGTGCAGAGAGTTATTTATATGAACAAAGCCAAATAATAATAAAAAAGAGCAATATGAGATTAGGATTCGGTAGGCGTTTAGGATGCACTTGCTGTGGGGATATCCCACTAGAACTGTAAACGTGATATCGACGACTCAGAGTCTATGTGTGTATAGGAATAAATGTATATATATATATATATATATATATATATATATATAGGAAAATGAATGAATCATAGAATCAATTATGCAACTAATAGCGAGGCTTGCAGGATGAATATATGCGTACTTAGTAAGCAATGCTCAGGCAAACATGTTCATACATTCGCAACAATTATAAAAATACAATGCTATAGATAAGTTGTTAGTGTATGGATGACTCGGTCCGTTAAATAAACAAAATACTTAACCGACTTAAATGTGAACAAGCTCAATTATACGTGAGTTGCTATAGGATATTTGCTGTGGAGCAACCAAAGATCATTGACCTATTACAAAGAATCATCCGCAAATCTCAATTGCATGAACATCGAACAAAACAATATTTCGATCGGTAGATTGATTTGCGATTTATCTAATTTGATTATCCCTGCACTCTAAAGGAACTCTAATATTCCTACTGTCCTAAGAGTCATTGATGTACATATAAGAGATCCAGCAAAGCTGTGTGACATGCTGAGCAAAACATTTGCTCAGGCATTCAATAGATATAATGAGAATAAACGCAGAGCAAGCAGTTTCCAGTCATGAACATTAGCAGACCTGTAGTGCACTCCGAGTATTTTGAGAGGTTCAATAAGCTCATTCAAACCGCTCGTATGTGGTTATGATGGAATACCGGCTAGTTTCATTACATTTTGGGATTTCTGACATTCATGTCCAGCCTTTAAAATATTCAAGCTGTCCCTTGATTGAGGCACTTCTCTTGTCAGTAGAAACTACAAACCACAAACAAATACTATCCAGACTGCATTTAGGCAACCATTGCCCCAATAACCATACTTCTATCTCATCTAAAACAATGGAGATTAGTAAGGAGATAACAGTCATCTACATAAGCAGCAATCAACTGTCTCCACAACATAAATGTTTCCCAAGAAGTCATGCATAACCCGTCATTTAGAATAATTTGATTAAATAATGTGCAATGAGGATGAAGGGCAGCTAGTTGTTATTCTCTACTTTGACTTTATCAAAGCGTTTGATAAAGTACAACACAAGTATTCTAATTAAAGTCTTGGCATAGCAGAGAAACTGCATAAACGGATCT